TTCACTCATTCCACGGCCACAGCTGCACCTCATTCACTCATTCATTCCACATGAAACAAACTTCCTGAGTCCAGCAGGGAGGCCTGAGTGAAGTGCACATGTATGTTGGGGTCCCGGTCCTGAACACACGTGGGCCAGGTGGAGAAGCCCCACCTAGCTCTGGAGGATTTGGGGAATGGGACCCCAGGGTGCCAGGACACCTAGTTTTTCTCTTTAAAAAGCTAGAAATCTGGGGGTCGGCACTGTGGCATAGCGGGTTAAGGCCCTTGCCTAAAGCGCCGGCATCCCACGTGGGTGCTGGTTCAAGTCCCAGCTGCTCCACTTCCGATCCAGCTCTCTGCTCTGGCCTGGGAAAGCAGCAGAAGATGGCCAAGTCCTTGGGCCCCTGTATCCACGTGGGAGACCCAGAAGAGGCTCCTGGCTCCTGGCTCCGGATCGGCTCAGCTACGGCCGTTGAGGTCAATTGGGGAGTGAACCAGCAGATGGAAGACCTCTCTCTCTCTCTGCCTCACTCTCTTTCAAATAAATAAATAAATAATATATATATATGTATATATAAATCTTTCTATCCAAGCCAGCACTGTGGCACAGCGGGTAAAGCCACTGCCTGCGGTGCCAGCATCCCACCTGAGCACTAGCTCATGTCCCGGCTGCTCCACTTCCGATCCAGCTTCCTGCTAATGCACCTAGGAAAGCAGCGAAGCTGGCCCAAGTGTTCAGGTCACTGGTACCCACACAGGAGACCCGCAAAAAGCTCCTGGCTTTGGCTTGGCTCAGCCCTGGCCACTGTGGCCATTTGGGGAGTGAACCAGTGGACAGAAGCTTGCTCTCTCTCTCTCTCTCTCTGACTTCAACTCCCAAATAAGTAAATCTTCAAAATAAAAAAGCTAAAAATAAGGACTTTAAAAAAATGAGTACTTCCCATTTTAAAAAACTGTTAACCAAATAAAAAGATTTTTTTCCCTTTTTTAAAATCCCTGTGAGGGGGCCAGTGCTATGGCGCAGCAGGTAAAGCCTCCACCTGCAGTGCCGCATCCCATATGGGCGCTGGTTCAAGTCCCAGCTGCTCCACTTCCAATCAAGCTCTCTGCTGTGGTCTGGGAAAGCAGTGGAAGATGGCCCAAGTCCTTGGGCCCCTGCACCCACATGGGAGACCTGGAGGAGGCTCCTGGCTTCGGATCGGCTCAACTCCAGCCACTGCGGCCATTTGGGGAGTGAACCAGCAGATGGAAGACCTGTTTCGCTCTCTCTCTCTCTCTGCCTCTCTTTCTCTCTGTGTGTAACTCTGACTTTCAAATAAATAAATCTTTAAAATCCCTGTAGGGTCAGTGCTGTGCTACAGCAGGTTAAGCTGCTGTTTGTGATGCCGGCATTCCAAATGAGCATGGGTTCGAGTCCCGGCTGCTCCACTTTGATCCAGCTCCCTGCTAATGAGCCTGGGAAGGCAGCGGAAGATGGCCCAAGTGCCCAGGCCCCTGAACTCATGTGGGAGACCCAGATGGAGTTCCAGGTTCCAGGCTCTGGACTGGCTCAGCCCTAGCCATGACAGCCACTTAAGGGCATAAACCAGCGGATGGAAAATCTGTCACTCTATTTGGAATACATACATTAAAAAAAAAAAAAAAAAAAAAACTCCCAGGTTTAAGAGAGCCTGTTTGTGGTCGAGAGATGCTGTAACTGTCACAGGTTGAACCTTGCACCTGCAAAGGCGAGGCCCTGTGGGGCTGGAACTTTGCTTTTTCTGTTTTTCTAATTTGAAAGACAGGGCACCCAACTACTGGTTTATTCCCCAAATGCATGCAACGGCCAGGGCTGGGCCAGGCCAAAGCCAGGAGTAACTCCACCCAGGTCTCCCACGTGGGGAGTCAAAACCTAAAGATTTGAGCTGTCATTGGCTGAGCTGCCTCTCAGGTTACACTCGCGGAAGAGGAAGAAGCAGGAACCAGAGCGGAGCCGCAACTGCTACACCAGACGCCCGCTCTGAGGAGCCCGGGTGCCTAGTGGGTGCTGAAGGGTACATGGGAGCCACTCAGTGTGCTGGGAGGAGAGCAGGGGCAGTTCTGGGCTGCTCCTCGGCCCCTGGGGGCGGCCCCCAGACAAGGGACAAGGCCGGTTTGGGGGGCACCCTCTTGGGGTCCTGGCAGGCACCTTGATGGCACTCATTAGCATGGTGCATGGTACCCAAGCTGCCCCAGTAGAACACGGCCTGGTGAGGACCAGGCTTCTTTTGATCCTGGGCTCCAAGCCCAGCCCCCACCCCCTGGGAGAGTGCTGGCAGCTGCTGGGAGGGCTGGATGGGTGGACAGGATGGAGGGGTAAGGGGGGGGGCAACCGGGCTCTGTGTCCTGTGCATCCTGTAACCTCGCCAGGGACCTAGGGCACCCAGAGACAGATATGGTGACGGAGGCCAGGACACAGGCACCCGTCTGCTTAGGTCACAGGCCCCATGGGGCCCGGGGTTGGATGCCACAAAGCAGACAAGACATCATGACAACTGCCTGGGAGTGGCTGAGATGGAGTGACCCCCACCCCACCCCAGCCCCGCAAGCACGCGGGAGATAGGGGCAGGGCAGGGGAGGTGATGGGAGGTGGGGGGTGCTGGAAGGAGGGCCTAACCACACAAGGCCGGGCAATGGCCTCCTGTGTGGGAGCAGCCGCAGCCGCTCCTCCCCTCTGCCACATTCTCTGGACCTGCCTCTCAGCCGATTGTCCACTGGTGGGTCCTCCGGACACCAGCCCCATGCAGCCCTGCGCTGTCACCCTCCCTACATCCCGACCCCCCAACCCCCTGCTGTGTGCCTTTGGGGCCCATCACCCCTGCTGGAGGCCGCGGTGGGGTCTCCCTGGCTGTTCCTGACCCCACTCTGGGGCCACCTACAGCAGTGAGCCACAGTCTCCACCAAATCTCTCATTCTGCAGAGAGAGAGAGGCCCAGAGAGGGCCAGTGACTCATCCAAGAGGCCCAGCCGGGCGAGATCCCCACTGCCCACCCCCCACCCGGCAGCCCTGAGACCCAGACTGCGGTGGGGAGGGAGGCGGGGAACAAGGCTTCCCACGGGAGTCACGGAATGCGCGCCTGCTGCCCCCCGGCCCCCGCCAGAGCCACCCCCTCGCTGCAGCGTCCTGACAGCCCGAGTTCCACCTGGGGGAGCCGGGGGAACTGGCGCCCCTCCCTCCCTCCCCCCCCCCAGCCCCCAGGGGAGGAAGCCGCCTGTCAGGCCGCCGCGGCGTGTCAAATCCTCTCGCTGCCTAATTGTGAGACGGCGGCGTTTAAAGAAACGCCTTTCTGGCCGCCTGCCACACCGCAAACTGCTTGGTATAATTTTATTATTAAGGAGAAGGGAGGGGGGATAGGAGGAGGGGGCTGGGAGCGAGCGCGAGCGAGCGAGCACGGAGAGCAGGAAATTGCTTAGCCCGAGTCAGCTGGTGGAGTATTCCGCTCCGTGCAGGCGCGGGGCCGGCTTTCCAGTTGGCGAGCTGACTTTGTTAATTGCGCATTCAGTCTCTGCTCGGGGTAATTGAAACGAAGCGGGGCCGCAGCTGACAATTAGGGGCTGCGAGGAGGCCCGTTAACCCTTTCCGCAAGCGCCCCCTGCCCACCTCCCTACCCAGGTCGAGGCCACGGCGCCCCTGTCCAGGCGGGGCGCGGGGGCGCGCACTGCGGCAGGGGGCTGCGTGGTGCGCCCCAGCTCCCGCAGGGCGAAGGCGGCGCCGCGGGGCCGGGAGCCAGGCCGGGCTGGGGGGTGGGGGGTGGGGGCGGCTGGGGGTGTGCGGGGGTTGTTTGCGGCCGCGCCGCCCTTCTGCAACAGATGTTTCAGCCGTGTAAGACAAAGGCAGAGCGCCCGCCGCTGCCGAGAGAAAAATCCGCAGGAGTCCCTCAGGGGGCAGGTAAAATTTCACCTTCTATTTGCGTCCCCCCCCAACACCACCACCCCTTCACGCCCCCGCCCCCGCCTGCGCCAATCCCGAAAGCGCCACCAAAGACGCCGCGCCGCCTCCTCCGCAGCGCAACCCGCTGACCCCGGCAAGGTCGCGGCGACCTCGGGCTCCGCCGGCCAAGGGCGCCCCCCGCTCCCCGCTCCGCCGGGAGGGAGGGAGGGGGCGCTGCCCTGGCCACGGGGGCCCGGCGGCCCTGGCCGCTCCCCCCCGCCCGCGCGGGGACCCCGGAGGCGCGGGGGAGGGGGGCTGCGCCCCGGGCCCCCATCATTCATCTCCCAGATTCCCGCAGTAGCCGCCCTCGGAAGTCAGCCGAGTGAAGCAGCTGTTCTTTGCACACTCCACTTGACCAAAGATGATGATAAATGAGGCCGAGGCTGCGTCGGGGACGCGGCGGCGGCGGCGAGGGCCGCGCAGGGCGGGGCGTACGGGCCGCAGCCCCCTCCCCGCGGCTCAGGAAGGGCGAGGACGCGGAGGACCGAGGCCGAGACGCAATCAAAGGCCCCGCAGTCCCCTCCCGGAGCCCTGCGCGGCACAGCCCGGCCGACCCCGCGCCGCGGCCCCAACCCCCTCCTCTCCCTAAGGCTTGGGTCCCCACGGCGCCCTCGCCTCCCGCTACCCACCCACCACCACCAACTCGGTTGCCTCAAACCTATTAACGCTCGTAAATAATGAATAATGGAGCGCTTCCCTCCAGCCGCGCAAGGCTGCGGGCGGGGGCCGCCGCCAGATGCGCCCGGGTCCTGGGGAGGGGGCGCCCGCCGGCCGGGTGCAGAGAGGGCGCGCGGCCCCGCACACGTGCAGCCGCGGCGCGCAGGCAGGCAGGCGGGCGGGCGGGCGGGCACCCCGCCCGGCGGAGGAGGGGGAATCCCGCTCTGCCCTCCCCAACGCCACCTCCCCTGGAGTCCTCTGGCACCGAACGAGCCGAGAGAGCGCGCGCGAGCTTCCCAGCCGGAGACGGTTATTTTTAACCTGCCCCCCTTTCTATAACTGCCTCTCGGGTTTGCGCGCCCGCCAGCCCGCCCGCCCCGCTCCACCGCAGCCGGGGACGCGGGGCTCCTCACCTCGCGCCGCGGCTCCGGACTCTGAGCGCCTCCCCCGGCCCGCGGCCCCCGCCCCTGCGCGGGCATCGCGCGGCTAAATCGCAGCTTGGAAAGGACCGATTAGGAGCCGCGTGCCTTTCTGCGAAATATTGGAACCGGGTGGGGTGGGGGCGGGGAGCCCGGCGCTCTCGGCCCCCCTTGCCTCCCGCTCTCCCTCCCACCCTGCGCGCAGAGTGGCTGCGAGAGGCGGCTCCCGCTCTCCCGCCCGCCCAAGGGGGGCGGCCGGCCCGGGGCGGCAAGCCCCCACCCACCCCCAGCTCGGGGCCCTGGCCTTCTCGCCTCAACGCCCACCCTTCTGCAGTCGTGTGCTGGCCTCCAGCGCGCGGACCCCAGGGCGGCGGCGCCAAGCGGGGCGCTGCCTGCGCTCACCGCCCCCCACCCCGGTCCTCCTCCCCGAACCGCTCCAAACAAACACGCCATTTAAACGGCATCCGGGCTCGCCATACCCACAACTCCCGGGGCAGAGCCCACCCGTCCCAGCGCCCTCGCCCGGGTGGGGGCGGGGGCGCGCGGAAAGCAGCAGCTCTCTCTCTACCCCCTCCTCCTGGCGCGCCCTCCTTCCCAGGAGGAAGGTCACGGCTGCACCCATTACCCTGCTCTCTCCACACCGCCTCCCAGCCCCGCCCTGCCCCCAAAGGAGGGCACAGCACAGAAGCACTCCCCGGGGGGGGGGGGGGCTTTGCGTGAACCCGCTGTCCCTTCACAGACACCCCAGGGCAGCCCCATCTTGCCCCTGAAGTGGGGGGAGTGTCACATGTCAACCCCACGACAAAAGGGCAGTCCAGGTACCAGGAAAACCTGGGACAGACCCCTGAGGCTGGGCTGGGCTGGGCAAATCAAGCTGGAGGTGGCGGGTGGGGGTGGGGAGTGACCGGTGGGAAGGCTGGGTCCCCCACCCAAGGGGAGCAGCCTCTGGTATAGTGGTGGGGACAGGGCCACTGGCTGGAGCCAGGAGGGTCCAGGCCCCTCCCCACACCAGCAGGCCAAGCAGGTCCCAGAGGGAGGTGAGAGGGGGCCAACAGGGCAGGGCGTGGCAGGGGGAAGTTCTTCAGGGGGTCCCCCTGCCCCCCAATTTCCAAGCCAGCAAGCCAGCCAGCCACTGGCCTGGGGGCCTCCCTGAGATCTGGAAAGTTCTCAGCCGGCCCAGAGCTGCTGTCCTACATAAGGAGACTTAATTCTGACCTTCGGGGGGTGGGGCAGATGGGGTGACCCCACTTCCCAGTTCACACTCCACCTCTGGGGGTCCTCCCTGGTCCCCTGCTCGGGGCCCTGCGGGGTAGGGCTTCCACTTGGGTGTCCCAGGGAAGGTAGGTGGCCCAGGGGCTCCTATGCACAAGCACCAGGAAACACCATTATAAGCATGGGGGACCCTGAGGTCCCAGTTCCCCCTCTGAAAACTCCAGACAACTGCTTTGCTTGGGACAGGGGGGGAGAAAAAAGGAATGGGGGGAGTTCCTGTGGTGGGAGGCTGGAGACAGCTGCGTGCTGCCCCGTTATCAACCCCCTGATTGAGGGGTCGGCTCCTGGGGCTGCAGACCAAGGGTCCCCTCCCCCCGCTGTGTCTGATAAATGCATGACACATGTCACTCAGGGCCTAACAGCTCTGCTCGGTCCACAGCCACCTGCACCACTGCCTGGGAGCCTGCACTGACAGCCGGCCTGGGACGGACAGCCACTGGTCCACCACCACCCACCTCCAGCTCTCTCCGGGTGGGGCCTGGTGGCCGGAAGCACTGGCCTCGCGAGGGGCCACCTTGCCACTGCACTGCTCCCCAGGAGGACCTGGAGCTGCCCCGGGGAGCTTCCTGCGCACAGACGAGATCTGCCTTTGGTTTCTCGTCCCAGTCGCCACGCCAACACCGGGGCGCCCGGAATCAAGCCGGTCCCAACAGCTCTCGTGTCTGGCCCAGGGAGAGCAGACTACTTTCTGCATAGTCTCTCCTACTGTCAGACCCTTCTAGAACCCCCTCCCAGCTGCCTCCCAGTCACTCGGCATCTGGGGGCAGAGGGCCTAGTCCAGCTGGACGTAGGCGGACTTGGCCTGACCCCAGACCCGCCTGGTTCTGCGAAGCTGCAGCCCCCACCCCCAAGGCTGAGCTCTCTTCCTCCACGGGCGACAACTCTGGATTCATGACAGGCAGACTGGCCCACTGTGAGCGCTCCTGGGTGCAGGGGTTGGGGGAGGGTCTGGCTTTGGGGGTACGGGGTGTTCTTACCTGGCCCTGTGCCTATCCTGTAAATGCGCTCTGGGTTCAAATCTGGGACTGCAGTGAGGTCCGCCCCCAGAGGCAGCTGCGGGATGCCTGCGTGTTCCCCAGGCGCTGCTGCGCTAAGTAAGCACCTCCCAGCCCAGCCCTGCGGACCACAACTCCTGCGGGAAGAGCTCAGCCCTCGGGGACTCCTGCTTCTGCTGGCTCCTGGGAGCCAGGCTCCGGGAAGGGCCCCCTCCGGGACCAGGATCCTGCCTCTGTGTCCCCAAGCCCCTTGGACTCAGAACCCGTGGCCCGGCAGCAGCTTGGGCCACCACCCTCAAGATTCTGCACTGGGTATTCGCTCCCTGGCAGCAACACGGATAAAAAGTGGTTTCCTGCGGCTGAGTTTGCCATCACTGGTCCCCTGGAGGCCTTGGTTACCCCCTACCCTGCACACACACCCCCACTGGTGCAGGGAGGGAGCTGGGAGAGCTGATCTCCCCTTAGCTCTCTGTAGTTCCTTGCACACGTCTTCTCTTCCCCGGAGCAGGCATCTGAGGGCCGGGCATCACTAGGCTGAGGCCTTGCAGGGCTGACGCCTACTGAGGGAGGTTACGCAGCGGGCGGTGGGGGGAGCCGGACTCGGCTCTTTCCAGTTCAGCCCGCTTCCCACGACATGCCTGGCCCCTGGAGGATCTCCTAAGGGAAAGAGCCCCTGTGGTTTGCCTGGCGCAGAGAAGGTACTGTCAGGGTGCTGTGCACCTGCCCCGGGTGGGGGGGGGGGGGGTAAGGCAAAGACCAGTCCCAGTCTGGCTGGGCCGGGGAGGGGAGAGGAGCAAGGACCCCGAGGGGAACTACATCTGCAGAGCGCTGTTAAGGGCACCGGCCTAGGCAGCAGCAAAAGGCTCCCGTAAGCGGAGGTCCGTTGGGAGGGGACATGGGAAACAGGTTCGGGAATTCCACCTGGCGGGGAGTCTTCCAGCTGTGTGAACAGCAGCAGAGTGTAGACGGCGCGGAGCAAACGCGCGTGTGCGGGTTTTTTATGCCTTCTGCCCTGATTACAAGGTACCCTCCTAAGAGGCTTCAACACTTCCTCTAGGAATAAAAAAAAAAATCTGCCCTTCAGGCTAGGCACAGTGGTTACAGAAAATGGCCCGGTTCTGGGCTCTAGCCTGGGCTCCAGCTGCTACTTTCCAGCTGCTGAGCTGGCCTGTGTGTGTGTGTGTGTGTGTCAACAAAATGGGACGAGGCTGACTGCCAAGTCAGCCACCCCTCACCCCGGGGCCTGCCAACAGACAAGATACAGATCATGGCCCCATTTCCCAGATGAACAAACTGAGGCCCCGGAAGCGAGCAGAGAACCACATCTGAATCCCCGCAGTAAGACAGCAAGCATATGCCCCTGGGGTGGGAATGGCGGGGGGGGGGGGGGGGGGCTGATGAGATAATTTACATGAGAGCTTTCTGGGCAGAGCTGGGCGCGGTAAGTTAGCTGTTACTTTTAGAAGGTAAATATTTATAGCACTTCTTATAACATGGAAAAGTTCAGGAAAATCCCTGGTTCCTCCTTGGAGGGCCAGGAAGGAGCTCCTTGCAAGGACACAGAGCAGCCTGGGTGGGTGGACACACCCTCCCAGCACGGGCAGTAAGCGGAGCAGGGGCTGGCCATCTGTGTTCCCTGGCTGGCACGCGGGCTGCAGCAGCCTTGGCTGTCTGGCTGGACAGGGAGGCGTGGGGAGGGATTCTGTTCCACCCCAGGTCCAGAGGGGCGTCTTTGCAAAGAACACCCTGTCCGCAGAGGCCCCGCTGCTGACTCGCTGTGTGACCTCAGGTGAGTCACCCCACCTCTCTGGGCCTTCCAAAGGGGCCACGAGAAAACAGGGCTGCGTTGTCATCACCCCTCCCGGGCAGTGCCCACACAGACGTCACGTGTCCTGCTCTGAGGAGCAGCCTGTAGAGAGCGGAGGGCCTGTGTCACACTCCCCGAGGCCTGGCATCATACGACAGTGGCAGTGGGGTGAGGACTGAGGTCAGGAAGCTCCCAGGGCTAAGTGTTGCCTGGATACACAGACCCAGGAGGGAGCACTGGGGGTGGCTGTGGCCCGTCAGGCCAACCAGAGGGATTTTTTTTTTTTTTTAAAAAGATGTATTTACTTATTTGAAAGGCAAAGTGACAGAGAGGGAGAGTCAGATCTTATATCCACTGGTTCACTCCCCCAAATGGCCCCAACAGCCTGAGCTGGGCCAGGTTGAAGCCAGGAGCTTCTTCTGGGTCTCCCACGTGGGTGCAGGGGCCCAAGCACTTGGACCATCTTCCCCTGCTTTCCCAGGCACATTAGCAGGGAGCTGGATCGGAAGTGGAGCAGCCAGGACTTGAACCGGCACCTGGAGGGGATGCTGGCGTTGTGGGCAGCGGCTTAACTCACTAAGCCAGAACACTGGTCTGGGGCTTTTTTTTTTTTTTTTTTTTTTTTTTTTTTTTTTTTAAGGCAAAGAGAGAGACTGAGATTTTCCAAGTGCTGATTCACTCCCTAAATGCCTGCAACAGCCAGGGCTGGGCCAGGCAGAAGCCAAGAGCCAGGAGCTCCATCCGGGTCTCCCAGGAGGGTGGCAGAGGCCCGGGCACTTGAGCCATCATCAGGGAGCTGGACCAGAAGTGGAGCAGCTGGGACTTGATGCAGCAGAGGCGTCGCCAGCAGCAGCTTGGCCCGCTACGCCACCACACCAGCCTTGGAGGCCGTGGGAATTGGTGGGCTGAGCCCTTCTTCCATCCCCCAGAGAAACTTTGAGAACACACGAGCACCCCCACTGTACACAGGAGTGCAACCGGGGAGGGGCGGCAACAGTTGGACTTGAACTTGGCCTGGCTGGTTCTGAGTCTGCTCCCCAGGGCAAGATGGAGGGTACAGCCAAGAATGGGGAGGGGGAGGCTTTGATGCTCTGCTGGATGGGATGGGGGGGGCAGGCACACTGTGGGATGCCTGACAGCTGCCTCCTGGGGCCTGTGCCTTCACCCCAGCTCACCTTGAACCAGCACACTAGCCCAGGCATGAGCAGACCACGTTACAGAGGGCAAGGATTTGCCCAAGGTTCATGACCCTATTTCCTGGCACCCCTGGTTCCTTTCAGATGGCGTGGTCCATCCATCTGCCATCCGATAAAGCAGCTACAGTGTGCCTAACTATTTCACCAAGTGCCAGGGGCTGCCATGGGCTCAAGACACCTGCAGGGGCCAGGGCCGCGGTGTAGTGGGCTAAGCCTCTGCCTGCAGCACCAGCATCCCATATGGTGGCTGGTTCATGTCCCGGCTGCTCCTCTTCCAATCCAGCTCCCTGCTTATGGCCTGGGAGAGCAGCGGAGGATGACCTATGTGCTTGGGCCCCTGCACCTGTGTCAGATACCTGGCAGAAGCTCCTGGCTCCTGGCTTCCGACTGACCCAGCTCTGGCTGTTGCAGCCATTTGAGGAGTGAACCAGTGGATGGAAGACCTTTCTCTCTCTCTGTGTAACTCTGCCTCTCAAATAAATACGTAAATGTACCAGAGAGAGAGAAAGAAAGAGAGAGAGAGAGAGAGAGAGAGATGCCTGCAAAAGGCAGGTTAAGAGCCACAGCACAGGAAAGGGCCCCAAATCATACTGGTTGGTAATAGGGGCTTCCCGGAGGAAGTGACCTGTTACCCGAGACCCAGGATTGTGCAAGAGTTACAGAGCGAGAGAGGAAAAAGGCCGGGACCAGGCAGCAAGGGAGCGAGACGGGGCAATGAGAGCAAGGCACGGCTCGGCTCGCAAGCCGACTGTGAGGGTCCGTCGCCAAGACGGGAGAGGGGCCTGCGAGGCGTGGGCCCCAGCACAGCTCACAGCCTTTGCGGTGGGGGCAGTGGGGAGCCCAAGAGGGGAAGGGAGGGGAGGAGCGACCCCGCTCACGGCTGTGCGGATGCAGGAGGGACCGGTGACGGGGTGGGCGTGGAGGCCAGGAGGCGGCAGGATCTCTCTTCCTGAGCAGCGTGGGGGCGGGACCAAAGTGGACAGCAAAAGCAGGTGGCATTCTAGAAATGCCAGCATCGGAGCAGAGGGGAGGGGCCTCACCCAAGCCTCCTGCACACATCCCCCCAACCGCCCCCCCCCCGCCCTGAGTCTGGCTTACAGCCCCCGGAGGGTGCCACAGCCCCACAGGGTCCACACCCTGAGGTCCCAGAGAGGGCAAAAGCAGCCGCACAGTCTGGCGGCTCAGAGGCTGGGACGGGGAGACGGGCGTACGTGGTATCCACCGTGGGGTGTCTACAGAGGCACACTCCCAGTTCGGTGATGAAAGGCGGGCGCAGGGGACCTGGAAGGTTCCCATGGGAAAGGTCTGGCTCTGTGCACCAGCCCCCTACTGGCCGGCTTTGATGGCAGATAAACCCCAGCCGGCGGCGGCTCCTCGGGGGCACCTGCCCCTCGCTGGGAAACACAGGCAGTGGCTGGCAGTGACTGTGGACATGTGCGAACACGAGCAAGGAACCCCTGGCAGCCCGCGGCTTGTCCGCGGCGGCTCTGCCTTTATTCCTGTCTTCTCTCTCTCTCTCTCTCTCTCTCTCTCTCTCACACACACACACACACACACACACACACTAAGGGGACCACAGGTCCATGCAACCCTCCCCAGCCCCAGCAGCTCCTGGGTTACCCCTCTCGGGCGGAGTGGGGGGGCACCCATCAGCCCCTTGGGGACATGCCTGTGTGAGCCCCGTGGGTCCAGTGAAGGAGGCAGCGAGTGGCTGGAGTGGGTGGGCGGACAGATGGATGGATGGGTGAATGGATGAGTGGACGGATGGATGAATCGAACCCCAGCCCCAAGCAAAGCCGTTGCTATTTTTGTCTGAGCAAAACACCATTTCCCTAAGGCTTTTTTTTTTTTTTTTTAAATAAAGAAATGTGTAGGTAGCTCCCATAGCCCTATGGGCTCCCATAGGGGCCCTCTCCACCATGCCTGGGTTAGGGGCACAGCCCTGCCCTCATATTGGGGGGGTCACTGGCCTCAAGGCTGCTGTCTCCCCCAGGGCCATGCCATGCCAGGGCCTCCCCCAGCCCCTGACCCCCCAACTTTTCCTCAACCCTGTTCTTCCTTGGGCCCAGAGACACCCCCTCCTGTGGCCCAGCAATTCTCCTGACCCCAAGTCCCCCAGGCCATGGAGGCCCCCAAAGGGTACGTGGAGGAGGAGGGAGAGGAGGAGGTGGGGAGGAGGAGGGGAGTGAAGGAGGAGGGGGGAGGAGGAGGAGGGAGGAAGAGGAGGAAGAAGAGGAGGAGGAAGGGCGGAGGAGGAGGAGGAGGAGGGGCAGCTGCCAGCTCACAGCTCGCCTGCCCGGGCAGCTCTGCTCCGGCAGCTCCCAGAGCCGGGTGTTTGTCATCTGCGAGGACAGT